GTAAATATTGTTTTGTCAATAAACTGTTGAATTTTATTATCATAATAACACAAAATGTCTTACCCATACATCTGGAAACAGATATTCCCCTATAATTACCAGGCTCTGCTCTATCTATATCTCCCTTCTTAAAAATATGTGATATGATACTGATGTTCCAGATATCTGGGTAAATACCTGAATCCAGGATGAGGTTGTAAAGTTTTTGTAGTGGTTTAATCAGGAAGTCTGAACTTTATTTCAATAATTCTGGACAGTATCCATCATACCCTGCTGCCTTTTTTGACTTAAGTTTTCTAATAGCTAATTTAATTTCTTCATCTGTAATTGTGCTATTCAATTTAGACTTTATTCGGAAATAATAAATGTTTCCACACTTGGAGCAAAGTCTACAGGGTTACGATCAATGAAAATTGCAGAAATTACGGTAATTACCTCTAGTGGTTCAACTGTTGATATTCGTGCATTGATTGTACCCCAAATCACTACACCTCTTAAAAATTATCTGAAATCTAGCGCCAGTCTTGCCAATTTACCTTATCTACAAGGCTTAAAATTGGCACACGCCATTTCTGGTGACCGGGAATTTGAAGTTTCAGTTCTGGTAGGTGCAGATTTTTATTATTCATTTGTTGGTGATCATGTTGTTCGTGGCCAGGGACCCACAGCAGTGTCTTCCAAATTGGGTTACTTATTATCTGGGCCATTACCACCGCAACATTCGAACCCCCTCCCCACCTCTACTGTAATGCATGTCGCTACGCACGTGTCCGGTGAAGATTCTCTACTTCAAAATTTCTGGAATGTTGAGAGCATAGGTGTTAGGGACGATCCCACCCCACAAGAAATTACTTACGATGGTTATACCAAGTCACATTTACGCTTAGAAAAGAATCATTATGTAGCTAAACTTCCCTGGAGCCAAGATCACGCTCCCCTATCTACAAATAAAAATATTTGTGAGAAAAGAACGCGTGCTATGGTCCAACGACTAACACCGGAACTAAGACACGTGTACGATAAGCTTATAAAGGACCAATTAAATCGTGGCTTTATTGAAATTATTCCTAATGATGACAAGAATTCAGGTCATTATCTCCCTCATCATCCCGTGAAAAAAACTCCGAAACAACACCAATTAGAATAGTTTACGATCATTGTAGTTGTAAGATCTCAAACAATCCTAGTTTAAATGATTGTTTAGAAACGGGACCTCCGCTATTAAACGATCTTGCTTCAATTATTCTCCGTTTCCGTGCACACAAATTTGGAACCACTGCAGATATCGAGAAAGCATTTTTACATGTAGGTCTTGATGAGAATGATCGAAAATTCACTAAATTCATGTGGATATCTGACCCGGACGATCCAAACAGTACATTTCAAATTTATCGATTTAAAGTAGTTCTTTTTGGCGCAGCGTGCTCGCCATTTATTCTAAATGCAGCGATTAAGTCCCATTTAGAAAATGACGGATCGGAAATTGCCACAGACCTCAGTAAAAACATTTACGTGGATAACATTCTCAGTGGACGCGATACTGAACAAGATCTCATTGCTTACCATACTGAAGCTACAAATCTCATGAAATCAAGTGGTTTCAATCTTCGCGAATGGGCTACAAACTCTCGTGAACTTAGAAAAATTGCCATAAAATCCAACAGTTCTTGTTTAGATTCCAAAGTAAATGTTCTTGGTTTGCGTTGGGATACTAATACTGATTCACTTTGTTACCCAAAAAGAGAATTTGTACAGCCGTCTAAGACTGACCTACTTATCACGAAACGGGAAGTTGTCAGGGCAACCGCCAGTTTGTATGATCCACTCAGTTTTATTGCGCCTGTACATATCAGTGCAAAAATATTTATTCAAAAACTATGGAAAGCTAAACTTGAATGGGACGAACCCTTGACTAGCGAACTCCATGGCGAATGGGTTAAACTATGTCAAGAGTTACAAACCGTTACCCACACTCAGATTCCACGTCGCTATTTTAATTCCACAATGAGTGGCGGGACATTTGAGTTACACGTATTTACTGATGCCAGTGTGAAAGCCTACGGTGCTGTAGTTTATTTACGCAATACAATTTCGCGTGAATCTGCGCTAACAATTTCTAAGAGCAGAGTGACTCCTGTCAAACCATTGACTATCCCACGTACCGAGCTTATGGGTACATTGTTAGACGCACGTCTCATAAAGTTCGTTTATTCAAGCCTAAATGAACAGATTAATATTGACAAGTGTGTTTTGTGGTGCAATAGTCAGATCGTCCTACATTGGCTACAAAATAACAAAAAAATACCTTGTTTTGTGCAGAATCGCATTACTGAAATCAAAACAAATGCGATCATCAATGAGTATAGATATTGTCCTACAAATGACAATCCAGCAGATATATTATCTCGCGGAATTACCCCATGCCAACTTTCAAACAATACACTTTGGTGGTATGGGCCTCAGTGGCTTAAATTCGGTGATTGGCCTGTTTGTGAAATCTTTGACAGTCGGGTATTGCATGTCTCGGATGAAAGTAGACAAACACCCACAAAGTTACGGATAAACATACTACTGAAATTATCGGTATTGCTAATGTTATTAACGCGTCCAATTACAGTTCATTAAATAAACTGTTACGTGTAAGCGCATATGTTATGCGATTTATTCATAACATAAAGGCCAAAAAGCAAGACCGACACTTGAGCACTTTAACTGCTCGTGAAATTAACTCTGCCGAAAAAATGTGGATTCACGATGCTCAAATTCACGCATACCCTTCATAAATTAAAGTACTGAGTATCAAACAGAAATCTACAAGCCCGTTAGCCCACCAACTTCGTTTGTTTCTTGATAGAGAGGGCTTTATTCGTGTTGGCGGCAGGCTTCACAATGCGCCAGTGAATTGTGTTACAAAATTTCCAATTCTTCTCCCTAGAGGAAACCATTTCGCAAAACTTGTAGTGACCGCCGCCCATTCAAATATTAAACACTCGGGTTCCCAGGCAACAATCACACATATTCGCCAAAGATTTTGGATTCCACAAATTCGTCCGTCTGTGAGATCGATACTGAGAAATTGTGTTGTCTGTCGGTTAGTGTGTGGAAACCCTTCAGGAAACCGATTCCTGCACCCCTACAAGCATGTAGATTACATAATGCTCCACCCGTCACCGCTACAGGTGTGGACTTTACCGGAGCCGTGTTTGTCTCGGTAGAGAAGACAGAGCGGAAAGCCTATATCTGTTTATTAACATGCGCTGTGACTCGGGCTATTCATTTAGAATTGGTTATGGATCTCTCTACCGATACATTTTTACGTGCCTTCAGACGGTTTGCTGCGAGGCGTTCATTACCTAGTAAAATTGTTTCGGACAATGGATCAACGTATCTTTCCGCAGCTAAAGAAATACAGAAATTATTAGAGTCAGCGTCAATTCAAAACTACTTTGCAAACCACCGCATGGAGTGGTCCTTCATACCAAAACGTGCCCCTTGGTTTGGAGGACTTTGGGAGAGACTTATTGGTATGACAAAAACATCCCTCAAAAAAGTCCTCGGTCACGCCTTTGTGTCTGTTGACGAACTGCAAACAGTTCTTACAGAAATCGAAGCCACATTAAATGACCGCCCACTAACTTATCTCTCCTGTGATAGGTATATTTGATGGTTAAAAATCTTTCACTTAGGTAACCGGGATTCGGTCGTTTCCACGCTAGGCTGACAAAAACACACACAAGCTTCGTTCATGTTCCCAAACGATTCCCTGGTTTTCCCCCGAGACAGCATTAAATCACTCTTTATTTCTTGTCACTCCTTAACCAATTACAATCAGTATAAGAGACTCCAAGGCCTTGCCTTCAAACAAACAACCAATCACATGAAAGTTTTACACATCATAATCAATTAATTACTCGTCAAACTATCTAGAAAAAACACTACTATATATTGTCAACACTAACTAATATTGATGGGGTAATAGTCTTGCACTAACATTCCACAAAGATACCACCTTAGTTAGAATTGCAAACAAAATTGGTTTAGGATTACAGCTACTGTATTGTATCTTAAAAACTGCAGAGTCATAAGATGTTTTTGGTTGATTTTGACCAGCTCGCCATCTGGTCTTGTCATTAACCTTTATCAGTATATGTCATGGCAACACTGTCAAACTGACTGAAATATAAATCATGATACAACCCCCTGTTTTAAATTCTGCATG